ATATTATGGGCTAAAACTAATGACTAACACTACAAGTTCTTCCAAAGGTAATGAACAATAAATAAAGTGAAAATAAGAAGTAAAGAATCACATGTATTCAATTATACCTAATACTTTTCATAGAGTAGATATAGAATCACTGTCAGTGAATCTATGACACGTCTTATTCTGTTGAACACTTGTCGTCTGTATTTATTTGCGTTCATCTGTTTGATGAAGTTAATTTTACAAAGATCAGACATATATATAGTTATAGGAATAAGTGCATATACACGTCTAAGGACCGGAGTTAGGCAAGGCTGTCTACTCTCTCCCTTCCTATTTCTTTTGATGATCGACTGGATTATGAAGACTTCGACATCTGAGGGAAAACACGGAATACAATCGATAGCTCAGAACCAATTAGACGATTCGGACTTCGCAGATGACTTAACCCACCTATCCCATACACACGAACAAATTAAGATAAAGACAGACAGTGTAGCAGCAGTGTCTGCATCTGTAGGCCTCAACATACACAAGGGGGAAAACCAAGGTCCTCAAATTCATAACGAAGAACAGCAATTCAGTCACTCTTGATGGCGAAACCCTGGAAGATGTGGAATCCTTTACAAACCTGGGAAGCATCATCGATGAACAAGGAGGTTCAGATGCAGACTTAAAAGCGAGGATTAGAAAACAAGGGTCTCATTCCTACAATTGAAAAACATATGGAACTCAAAACAACTTTCAACCAATATCAAACTGAGAATCTTCAATACGAACGACAACAAAGTTCTACTGTACGGAGCTGAAACTTTTAGAACTACCGCAACCACCATGAAGAAGATACAAGTATTTATAAATTGTTGTCTACGCAAGATACCCAACATTCATTGGTCGAATACCATCAGCAACATCCTACTGTAAGAGACAACAAACCAGCTTCCAGCTGAAGAAGAAATTAGGAAAAGACGTTGGAAGTAGATAGGACATACATTTTGGAAGCCACTAAACTGCATCATCAAACAAGCGCCAATTTGGAATCCTGAAGGGAAACGAAAATGACAAAGGCCGAAGAACACACTACTTCAGGAAATAGAATCAGATATGAAAAGGATGAATAACAACTGGAAAGGATTGCACAGGACAGGGTTGGATGAAGAGTGATGGCAGGCGGCCTATGCTCCTTCACGAGGAGTAACAGGCGTAAGTAATTAAGTAATATTATTGATGTGTGGTTGAGAATGATAGTGATTGGTTGTTTGTTTAGTCAGACTTTTCGATAGTCTGACAGGAGTTAGATGACTTATATATTCTCCTATCCTTACTATTATTGGATTGTGTCGGAGTGATATCAGTTGTTGTTATGGAAATATATTTACGTTCTAGTCAGGCTAATCATCACATATTCTTGATCTGAATTATGTTGAAGTCCTATAGAAAGAATAGACACTAGGAGGGAATCTAATATGTATACATATTCATCTAAGGTAAATTGACGTCCCATTCGTAAAGGCAAAGTAAAACCAACCGTTATCACAATTATAAAAAAATATCAGCAAAGATTGTTGTAAAAGGTTTTGTTGATTAGAGGAAGGGTTGTTCATTCTTATTTCGTTTTCTTGCTTTGTAAAGTTAAATAAACAATCGTGAAATTTGATTTTTGTTGATTGTTAGGTGTAAACAAACTGTTAATATTGTAATTATTTACATTATATTAACCTACTATTTATATCATTCTGTTATGTCATCATTGTCTTTTCATTGTTTATGTCTTATCATGTAATCAATACTTAAAATTTTGTGTAAATATATATCTAAAGTACCCTGGAGATTATGGTTCACACTAACAAGGATGTTAGTAAAAGGGAGTATGAAACAATGCACTCTTAAAAAGGGTGTACATTAATAAGGGTGGATATCGAAAGGCCGACCATGAAAAAAAGGTGTGTGTTGATAAAGATGAATATAGAAAGTTACTTACTTACCTATGCCTGTTACCGATTGTCGAGGAACATAGGCAACCCACCACCCTTTCCAGTTTTTTCCAGTTGTTATTCATCATTTTCATATGTGATTCTATTTCCCAACGTAATGTATTCTTTGAACTTTCTACTTTCCATTTCCCTTCAGGATTCTAAGTTAGCGCTTACCTTGTGATGCAGTTTGATGATTTCCGTAATACATGTCCTATTCACTTCCAACGTCTTTTCTTAATTTTTGTCTTCAAACGGAAGCTGGTTTGTCCTCTCCCATAGTAGGGTGTTTCTAGTGATTTTCGGCCAATGGACATTGAGTATCTGGCGTAGAAAATTTTTAGACATAAATGTACTTTTTTGGTGATGGTTGTGGTAGTTCTCCAAGTTTCATCTCCATACAGTAGGACTGTCTTGATGTTCGTATTGAAGGTTATTACTTCGATATTGATTGAACATAGAAAGGAGAAATAAAATTTTTATTAGTGTATGTGTCTTCGATCCGACCTTTGTCCGTCTGTTTTATGACGAATCAAAGAAGTCGTTATCTTAACGTCTAATCAAATGTCTTATTCTTATTATTTATTCTCAATCCAGGAGATTGGATCGACGGGCAGAACACTTTAGGGATCAGTTCAACTGATCTTCAGCCACACTTCGGTTTCCCACGATCTCCAGTTAACCTAAATGGCAAGTTGGTGTAAATCCTGCAACTTTTTACAAAGTTGAAAAAGCTATGGGAAATCTGAAGCGTCGGAGAGAAGCAGGACCTGACAGGTTTACCTTTGAGATTTTTAAAGATGGCGGTTCAGTATTAGCAGCGAGATTGACTGAGATCTTAGGTAGAATCTGGGAACTGGATGCAATGCCATCTGACTGATCTCAATCACTGATTGTGCTAGTCTATAAGAAAGGACGAAAATCATCTTGTGACAATCACAGAGGAATCAGTTTGACTAATATAGTGTCTAAAATATTAGCTTCAATAATACTTCGACGCCTAACCAAAGCTCATGAAGAGCAGACTAGAGAAAACCAGGCCGGTTTTCGACCTGGACGTGGTTGTATAGATCAGATATTCACACTACGTCAGGTTCTAGAACACAGACACACATTCAGACGCCCCACAATGGTAGTATTTCTCGACCTTAAGGCAGCATTCGATCGTAAGGTTCTATGGCAATGTTTATTTCTGATCCTTTATATAATAGATCGTTTCAACAATTCATCTTTAACAAAAGGCGGCCCAGTTGAATATCTGGGGTGACTGTCCCTACCATCTAGATATTTCAACAAGTTATCTGTTTCCTTATTTGTTCTAACATATCATTATGTCAATTAATTGCATAACCTATTCAAGTGTGTTTGTGAAAAGTTTACGACCTTTCGCTGTGCAAGTTACAACAAAGTACAATCAGAGACATTGTGGTGGATGTCAATATGCACCGAAAAGAATGTACATTATTCTAATGTCGATTCCTGAACTGCTAACATCTAACTGGGGATCACTCAATATTTACCATCTGGATCGACCAAGTAATAGGAAACGGAAACTTGTTGAAACATTTTGTGCTGAGAATTCTATATGGTACCAAAATTATAATATCGAATAAAACCACTAATAGTAATAGTAATAATAATAATAGTCATAATAGTAGTAGTGTGGTGTGTGCCACTTGTATTGACTTATGTAGTGTATAACAATAGTCAGGATTAGAATGTCTGGCAGAAGAAGGTGAAGAAGGAAAGAACGGGAACAGAAAACGATTGATATGAAAATGCAAAAAGAATGAAGTCTGAGATGATTGACTGATAAATGCGAAAGGAACAGTCAAGTTTCAGACAATTGATTGACATTTTTGAAATTAAGTATTCACTGTATAGTTCTCAGATTTTACTAAGATGTGCTGTAATTTTGTATCCAAATTCATTCGATCATCAGTGTAGGGTTGTGGAGATTATTAAGTTTTTGATCGAGATCATGGACCGATTGATGTTAGAGCACCATTGAAAACCTGGAAGCATTGGATGACCGTTTCGTCCTATTGTGAGACTCCTCAGCAGTGTGCAATCGCGACCCCACCCATGGGATTCGAACCCAGAATCTTCTGTGTCGCGCGCGAATACATAACCTCTAGACCACTGAGTTGGCATCCAACGGTGTTATTGTCTAACCTTAACTAATCCACACACTTGCGAGACCATCTTCTATAGTAATGAGGTAGATACCTGTCTCTACCCGACACAGATTAGCTCCACTGTTCATGGCTTCTTACTAGAACTTAGAGAATTCCCCCACGAAGTTAGTGCCTAGTGAGCACATGACTATTATCATTTTAGGGTTATAAAGATTATCAAGTTTTTGATTGCGATAATTAGCCGATGGACGAAAAAGCCATCCAGTGCTTGCAGGTTTTCAATAGTGGTCTAAGATCAATCGTTTCATAATCTCAGTCAAAAACATCCAATTATCCCCACTTGTGTTTCCGTTCACTACAATAGTAATAATAATAATAATAATAATAATAATAATAATAATAATAATAACAAGAACATGAGTGGGGAAAAACGAATGTATTTGACACGAAACTACAGAGCATCTCAACAAAATATCAATCCATCATTGCAAAATTGACTGTTTCTTTTGCAAATATCAGTCCATTGTCTCAGATTCCATTGTTCATTCGTTTTCATACTAATTACATTTCGTTCCCGTTCTTTCCTTATCGATCTTCTACTGAAATACATTCTCCCAACCTGACCACCGTTATATACTACTTATATGGATATAAGTAACCCACACAACAATACTAATAATAGTAATAGTAATCATACTAACTAAAACAGTGCATTATACAAAATGAATTCGTTCCAAATTAAATAACATGATAATAACAATCAATGTAAATATGAACTAACATTCATTCATTCATTCATTCTTTTGTTTAACTATCCATATATAAATATCATATTTCAATGTACTCAATATGAAATTACTTTATAAATATTATTTAATAATTAACCCTATAAATACCTTAGTAATTCATCTGTTAAATATTACTTCATTATAATGACTAAATTCATATTGATTTTTGTATTTTTATTCATAGGGATTGTTACATTTGACAGTTGTCAAGGTAAGTCAAAACACTATTGATACATTGAAAAATTTTTCTATTGACAAACATTATACTTTATCAATTAAGGAACAAATAAGGTGATGAGATCAGAATTAAACATTCATAATGATTGTGACTTATTAGAAAGACTTTAAATACAAAATATAATGATGTACTGACACTGTGGTTTGGGTTACTTATATCCATCTAAGTAGTATATAACGGTGGTCAGGTTGGGAGAATGTATTTCAGTAGAAGATCGATAAGGAAAGAACGGGAACGAAATGTAATTAGTATGAAAACGCATGAACAATGAAATCTGAGACAATGGACTGATATTTGTAAAAGGAACAGTCAATTTTGAAATGATGGATTGATATTTTGCAAATTATCTATTTACTATATGGTTCTCAGATTTTAGTGAGATTCTCTTTAAGTTCGTTTCAGATAAATTCGATTTTCTCCACTCCTGCTCTCCTTCCCTACAACATAATTTGGTATCATTTCAATGTCTATAAAGTTCTTAGTACTATATAGGTTGAAGTTTATTAATAATATAATAAAGCTTGTGAATTTAGGCAATATCGAGTCAGTCCGCACAGTATGCACATATGCCAATAACAGACTGATCAATTGCAATCTTAAACCTCAATGGGAAGATACAAGCCAAACAATACCAAGTGAATTTAATACTCCTAATGTTATAGAATGGTTATAAAATTATTTGTTTTGTTATCCATCTATTTGTTTTGAACTCAAATAGATAAATAGTATAAATAAATAAGTATATATGTAATATCCCAATGAGTAGAAAACTTAGATTTTATGACGTTTCGTAACTTAGTGTGGGCCACCTCTTCAGAGTAAATAACTAACTAACGAAATCAAAATTAATCCATGTACAATGGAACAGCACAAGAATATTATGTGCGATCAATCAAAAAAACAGGTCTGAACAAGTCGATGTCATGTCATTTCGACCAAGGTGATTCATAAGCGACATGTATGTAAATTTCTGTGTATATGTGTGTACATTGTTAAGGATGAAAAATGTGTGACCCTGATAGTGTGAAAGGATAGAGTTTAATTGTGAATGATATCAGACTAGGCGGTTAGGATAGATAATCCAAGTAGGATGTATAGTAAGGCCTTCCTTTTTATTGAGAGAAGTGGGATTAAGTATTATATGGAACGCTACAGCTAATCTTTTTTCTTTGTAATTGCAAGAAAACCTTTTGTAATATTTTGATATTTTTGAAATCGATTTGGTGGTCGTTGAAACTGGTATATTTAGCTTCAAAATAATAAATATACTTCAACGTTTAGAACATAGTTAATGAGAGTTTAGGGGTTCACATATGAGACCAATGATCCTGGACTCTATTCCGGGTTGTATGGTCGTGGATGATTACTTCTGAGGATACCCATACAATGTTAGGACAGTTGTTTGGTGTTTTCAAGTTTTCAGCAGTTGACTAACTTAGATCATCATATGATTTTAATGAAATCTAATAGTTACGACAACCCAGTACTTATAGTTAGATTGTGTACATTCAACTCTAAGTATTTATGGCTAATCATTTGGATGTGCAATTTGTTTTTGAATAATCGATTGTTGATATATTCTGGTAATATAAAATGTATAAAAAAAACTTCTTCTGATACTAATCAACATATGCTCACTAGTGACTGGCTTCAAGAGGTATATCCTGTAGTTCTAGTGAGAAGCAGCGACTAGTGGAGTTCAACCATGTCAGCTGTGAGATAGTAACTCACTGATGACAATATTGGGTGTGCCTCTCAATTTCGTGGATTAGCTGGAGTTAGACATTAACACCGGTGGGTGCCAGTCGGCTCAGTGGTCTAGTTGGTTAAGCGCCTGGCGCGAGACTGATAGGTCCTGGGTTAGAATCCCTCGAGGCGAGGTCGTGGAGGCGCACTTCTGAGGAGTCCCATGCTGGGCCGAAATGGCCTTCCAGTATTTCCAGGTTTTCCACGGTGGTCTAGCTTCGATTGACTCAGAATCTCAATAGTTGAAATCTGTTATTTATTGATACACTAATCAACGATTGTTTTCTAGAGTAAATGTTATGGGTTACTAAAAGTACTGAATTCTATTTTACAAATATTTTCAGTGTTCTAGTTCATGTATCCTCTTAAGTATGTAAATTCAAATAGTTTTCGATTCCACAACTAACATAAGCATTTGAAGCGAATGGTAATGGTTTCGTATCACAGATTGAACATCAACTCTGGACGAAACGCGCGTCCTGAATTCCACGGCTAGACACTATTGATTTTTGCACGTTATTTTTATGAATATTGTATTTGTTATCTGAAAATTTACCAGCGTATTAACTTTTTCTTAGTGACAACTATTTTGTTTTTCACATGATATCGAAATACATTTATAATTTGCATACGTTTTTATTTGTAGGTCAAAGAGATGCACCAAGGTATTTCCAGTGAGTAAAATGTTTAGATTCTATTTATTTAAATGATTTATTGAAATTCCTTCTGTGAATAATTGTTATTATACGCTAATATTTACCTATCTCATCAAATATGTATCTTAATTAAAGCTTTTTCTTTTGTGATTCAAATTAGATTCAGCTTGATGATAGAATAAATGTATTCATTATGTGATTGAGATCATGAACCGATTGATGTTAGAACATCACTGGAAACGTGGAAGCGCTGGATGGTCGTTTCGTCCTATTGTGGGACTCCTCAGCACTGTGCATCCATGATCCCGGTTCACGGGATTTGAATCCTGGATCTTCGGTCTTGCGCGCGAACGCATAACCTCTAGACCACTGAGCCTGCATCCGATGATATTATTGTCTAACCTCAACCAATCCACCCACTTGTGAGGCCATCTTCTATTGTACTGAGGTAGATACCTTTCTCTATCTGACACTCATTATTCAGTAATCAGTATTGAATAAATAGATAGCTCAACATTTAAGTGTAGGATACATGATTCATGGGTTAAATAAATATGTATGAATAAAGTTTAAGTATTAAGTCAAATGAACTTGCTTGTCATTCATATCTGATGGTCATTTAAAAAAGCAATTTAAACACACACACACATAACGAACCACAAATCTTCCCCACCATCTCAAAACACACATTGTGTACTACAGTGAATAGGGGTAATTGATATGATTGTATAATAAAAGGAAGCTTTCTTTTCTTAACAATCAGAGATTATATTTAACATATGACTGATAGTGGAGTCCAGGACGAAATTTTCGGTCCTATTTTGAAACTCGTTAGCGGGATGTACTTGAATTTCAGTGTTCATTTATTAGCTTAGACTAATCAAACCATTGATTATTAAATAGATCACAACGCTAGTAATACCTTCTACGATTAGCAAAATATCCACAAAAACCCATTTTTGATATTAATCAGCATATACTCACTAGTGACTGGCTTCAAGAGATATTTCCTCGAGTTCTAGTGAGAAGCCATGACCATTGGAGTTCAACCATGTCTGTTGTGAGATAGTAACTCACTGAAGACAATGGTGGACGTGTGGCTCAATTCTGTGGATTGGTTGAAGTTAGACATTAACAACGTTGGATGCCAGTTTGCTCAGTGGTCTATAGGTTGAGCGTTCTTGCACGAGGCCGGTAGGTCCTGGGCTCGAACCCCGTGAGGGGGGATCGTAGATGAGCACTGCTGAGGAGTCCCACAATAGGACAAAACAATCGTCCAGTGTTTCCAGGTTTTCCATGGTGGTCTAGCTTCAATTGACTCATGATCTCAACTATTAAATTACAGTACAGTTTGAATGACATTAGAAACTTCAAAAAAATCATTATGATTGTTTAAAGTATGATTTTTATAGTTTTTTAAATTATTTAACTTCTGTTCAAAGTAATACCAACGCTACTATTAAACAGTAAGTTAGAAATGTGAATAACTGGATAATTCCAGTGAATTCTTTATTCTAAATAATCAGTATATTTTAATTAGTTATAGTAACTTTTCGACAATCCATTTCGGTTACGGTTAAATGTTGGTTAAGCCCTTTTATTAACTTATTGCACAGACTATATTATTCGAACAGTCATAATTCGCATATATTTTTTGTACTATTATGATCATTATCTTGTCTGTAGAAACGTGTACTGTTGATCACATGGCAAACTCTAGCTAAAATGTTGATCGTTTAGATATTGCTCAATCAATCATATTCTTATCCCCATGTTTATATATGTACTCGAATCTTATTGATAACCTTTGCTTTGCCTTACTATGCCTTTATTCGATTTGACTATAAGTTTGCCTTTGTATTTGTTCGCATATATACACACACACACACATTTGCCTCTCTGCTTCTAATTCGCTCGATGTGCTCATAGCTTTGTGATTTGTGCTATTCGCTAATAAATTGCAGTTGCCGCATCTCATTGCCACCTTCCGAATTCAAACACCGTTGGAATCTATGTAATAACGATTACAAAGGTGATTGATGAATGAAGCAAAGCCACTACACATTGACTAATATACTTAGAAGAATATATGTCCATATTGAAGAATATGTATTCATATATATATATATATATATATATATATATATATATATATATATATATATAACCTCTGAAGTTGACATGAAAATCAAGTTTTAATGACTATAAAAATATTTATGTTTCGATAAAATACAGATTGAAATCAACCCTTATTCGATTAGTGAAGTAGTGACTGATTGATATCAATAAGTATGAAACTTCAATCAACACAGTTCTATCATTCCATATTCAAACTTTTTAAAAAGTTCTGAAAGAATTCTTAGTCACTTGGTTTAATGGCAACATTGTAGTATCATTGAAAGATAGCATTCAATTTGTAGTAATATGGTGGTGTACGCTACACATGTCAATAAATATAACTAGTATGTAACACTAGTTGGAATTGGAAAACCTGGCAGCAGCAGGCTAAGAAGATTGAGTTGAAGAGAATAGACTGGAATTGGGAGAATCATACAGAATATGAAGGACAAATGATGGAAATTTGTCAACTAGAGTATTTAATGTATGGTTACCATATTTTATCAAGAGATTTTGTAATTCAATATCAAAATACATCGATTGTCTCCAGATGAGTTCTTGTTCACTACAGTATGATCATGATTGGATAACATAACATAATTCCATGTTAATTATTCACTTGTTCATTTTAATTCCACTTCTTAATGCGTATGGAAGAAGTTAGCGCTACAAAATTATTTGAACATGAAACTTCAATAGTATTTGTATCAATATGATTTCATGAGAAGTAATAAATAAATAAATAAATAAATAAAATTATAATCCTGACGTTTCGTAACTTAATATAAGCTACTTCTTCAGAGTAAATCAATAACTCTAAAGAAGTGGCCCACGTTAAGTTACGAAACGTCAGAAATACGATTTTTCTACTCATTGGGATATAACAAACAAAATATATTTATTATAAACTTTCTATCCAATGCTCTGTTTATTTGAAACTATCATGTCCAACATTGGCATTGATACCTATAAACAAGTGAAAACTGTTAATGATAACTAGTCGACATAAGTATATAAACTTGTCTTTCAAATGCGTAAAATCCACTACTGAGCGTTGATTCACAGAATCCTACATTTTTATATTCAATAATTTTCTAACCTCAACCAATCCACGAAATTGCGTAACCAACTTCCATTGTCTGAGGTCAATACTGTCTCTACCTAATATAGATTAGCTCCACTGGTCACAGCTTCTCACTAGAACTCCGAGAATTCTCTCACGAAGCTAGTTACCAGTGCGTACATGATGATTATTATCAGTAAATAGTTTTTGAGATTTTTAAGTTTTTGATTGACAAACAACCATCCAGTGCTTCCAGGTTTTCAGTGGTGATCTAACACCAATCGTCTCTCGATATCAATCATAAACTTAACAATCCCCACAATCCTATACTGTCAAATTCTAATTCTTGATTTTATCCTGATTTTAATTGTATTAGAATGATAATTATAAGAACGATTACATAGTAACATAAAGATTTATCTTTTAAAATATCAATCACTTGGATAAATAATGACTAAATTAGTTTAAGCATAAACGATGCAATCTTAAAATCACCGTAATAATAATAAGTATACAATTGAAGAAATTTCACCGATTGATATCATAAGTTAATTGAAGCTAGATCACCATGGAAAACCTGGAACCACTGGACGGCCATATCGTCCTAGTATGGGACTCCCTAGAAGTGCACATCCACGACCCCTCACCCAGCGAGGCTCGAACCCAGGACATAAAAATCTCGCGCCAGGCGCTTAACCAACTGGCATCCAACGGTGTTAATGTCTAACTTAAACCAATCCACGATGTTGCGCCACCGTACAGTGAGTTGATATCTCACAACAGACATGGTTGAAAAAAATGTAAATAACATGTTACCAGTCAGTGAGGAAATTTGAGAACTTTACAGATCATATTACAAATACATTAAACAAACAAGAAAACTTACTTTATCAATTAAATAAACATTGAAGGATAATAATGATCATTTTATGAATTACGGATCATTAGCAGATGATTAATAACTGGCCAAATTAGAAAAAATTTCATCCATATGCTTATCATGAATACATTATATGAAATCATTCTCACTGATCATTTTAGCCCAACTACTCATGATGTGCAAACGAAGTAAGTACTGTGACTACACACGTTATTACTACTGTTAGCATAAATTTAAGAGAATTAAGATGGTTACTTGTTAGTAGTATACACTAAAACGAAGAAAGTCACAAATCAATTTGAAATAAAGCAGACAAAACTCAACTAAGCAAAGAATAAACACAAAATAAACAGGAAAAGGAATACCAAATACAGTACAAACCACCAATTAAAAGTTCTATCCACAAACAACAATCTCATGTGCCTCATATAGATTTCCAAATACACGTTCACATCTCAAATTCCTCGGCCAGCAGTCAGTCAGTAACAACCTAGAACTTCGTACGTACGTACATCAGTTCGGGTTGCCATACCACACTAGCACACAGATGCAGTTGTCGATTCAAATCCCACAGTGGTAAAGGTAGTAAGAGCACAAGCAGCAATCGGAAAGCTTAGGGATTGGAGATGTTATTTAAAGAGTATAATATAGTGAAATAAATTATGGAAGAGAAAACAGAGAAAACAAGGAATCAGGAGATAAAAATTTTGGGGAAAACAAAAAGTGTATCACCTGCACCGTTGCAAACAATTTTGAGCCATGTCATTCAGGGTCTCTAACAATCGCTTGATATCATAACGCGGTACGAAAACTGGTAGCCTACAATATACAAAATGATTAAGTCCACGTAACAGTGAATTCGTGGACCCGTGAAATGTTCAGTTTCGGCCGACAATAGCCTTCTTCCAAAATATTTCTATAACGCTGAACATCACACGTCAAGTCAACACCATCAAAGCAATAGCAACATGTTGATTGCAATCACACACATCACATTGTAACTCATTCTGAATATTATTGATCATTACTATTGCTATTGTCACTGTCATTACTCTCATTATTCCACAAACTGTTCGATTAATGGAACATACTCATCAATTTTAATGCACACTTCATTTAGGACTCACCACACCGCAACAACAACTGCAAGGTAAGTAAAATGCAATCACACGTATCAAATATGACAGTCTTCTATTTTCATTCACTACAATAAACAATACTAAGTAATCAGTGTATATTTGAATCAATAAGAATTGTCACGTCACACATTTGCAACGATCAACACGATGAATCGACGAACTGTAAACGTTCAATTCACAACTACATGGAACAAGCATCAAGGTACTCATGTCTGACAAACGAACACATTGGGGAATATTGTTGTTAGATTTCTACAGAACGAGTGTTGATTTTCAGATACCTGGAAACAGACAGACAGACAAACATACAGACAGACAGACGAACAAAATTCGTCCACACAATTCTGTCATTCATCATCAACAATCTAACACAATTCACAATGATGTTCATTCACTTGATTCATAAGTGGTCATATCGTCAATTCGTCAGACGACTTCGTCCAACACATACTAATACTGTGAATGTATAACATGCAGACTATTATTTTCATGAACCCATTGCGCGTTTTCGTTTAGGCATTACCATGTGACCTCAACTCCAAGGTAAGTACACAGTTCTACATGTAATAACATGATGGTGTACTGTTTAATTTCTACTCAAATAACCACCAATCAAACAGTGTAGCTACATCAACAATAATTGATATGTTGAGAAGAAGCTATTGGTGAAACAGAACTAGCTGTTCGAATTTGAACTGTGTTCAATAAACTATAAGAATTTTCAATTCTCAACATCACACAGATTAGATGTGATGTGATGTGATGTGTCAATGATGCATCAGTGAATCAGTGTCACTGAACAGACAACTATCAACAATCAGCATAATTTTGATGGAGCTTTGTTCTCTGAGCTGCATAGATTAACTGTGGAGATTTCAACGTTCCTGTGAATGACTTCATCAGCGCAGATTTCCTCAACATTATCACTTCGATTCAACCATCTGACAAAATTCACGATCACCTTCAATCACTCTATTCTATAGTATTTGCCACATCACAAATTCCCACATCTGTGCCGCTCGATCTGTAGTAACATTGTCAATGCATAACATGACACTGATTTTCAACATTTATTCGACTATTGTAGAATCATCTCAATTTCTAACTACTAAATAATATTCTGAGATGTCGAATAGGTGATTGCAACCACATTTTGTGCTTTATTTTTGCACGGACACTTGATCGTTCACGTTGAACATTGTATATTGAATATTTACTTGGTTAGTTTCCCTGTCACATGTCGAACTATCATTTTCCTGAATTTTAACACATTTCATTCAGACACTACACTACGCCGAGAACTGCACTGTAAGTAGTTCATATTTACCTGTATTTACTTACACAAATACAACCAGTGTCCACGTTCTGATAAACAGTAGAATGTCAATCGGTCAGTGTGCTTTATTTGTTCACTGTGCTCTCGCGATTGTAATCATGTATTGTAAAAGAGTTAGTTGTCAACTGGACATGCTCACATTTCAACTAAACATACAATGGAACGTACATGGGGACGGTCTCGTAGCCACTAAACACAAAAGTGGAAGCTGATGTGAAACATGCTAAATAATGCTTCTGAGATTTTCGCCATTCACATTACTACTATTACTACTACTACTGACATTTGATCATGACCGAATTGAACATGTGCACGAATGATAATATTGTTGAATATGTAACACAACATTACTAGTGGTAGTGTATGCATCCAAGTTACAGTAAGGATGAGTAGGAAGTGATCTGGATGGTATTAGGTATTGTATTGCATCATTCACTTCAGACCGTCTTACACAATTCAGGGTGAATTTCCAGTCAAATCATCCATCGATCACATCACAACCATATCGATTGATAACACTGTTTTAGTTGCGGTGAATTCACCATAGGATAGCATGAAATATTTCACGTCAATCGTTCACTCTCTCATTTCAGACACACTGTTCATCCCACACGAAAAACGTAAGCATTTCTAAATAACTTGTATGTGATATATCGGTAGAATCTGTACTTATGTATTTCAAATAATCGTGTTGTAAATAATTTGTGACAGTCGTATCTGTTTAGTTCACTCAATATAGCATCCCAGCTGATTGATTCTATTGTCCGCTCAATTCCACATATATAATGCGTGTGTGTTTGTATGTGATGATTACTAGTGATTTTCATAGGATAACATGAGTTCATTTCAGTCTGTTCGGTTATCGTCACCTGGTTACAATCCATAAAGTGTTAATAGAAGATATGTCACAAAAATCAGCACATACTTGTTCCAGTGAAATTGGTCAAATGTGAATACAATTGAGCATGTGTTGGAGCATTGTCTGTGATCAAGTGAATGTAGTTGAGAAATATAACAATGCTCGGAAATGAATTCACCGTGTGACAGAATATCTCAGTACATGGAATGTGGTAACGAAATACCATATAGCTAAACGATTGATTAACCATCCAATGAATTGGATGAACACCAGTTAATGGTGATTGCGATGAACATGAGTTGCGATTAATCAGTTTGTAAAGAGTCCATGAATCTCGGTGAAATGAAGGCAGAGGAATACAAATAAATGAAGTAGTCGTGTAAATGACGTAGCAACATGACGGTAATATCATCGTGGTAAGAAAAGAAACATTCAACACATTTTCTTCTTGAATACACAAATTTTGTTTGACAAGTTTGTTTGTCACATCTTCAGAAGATGTAAGAGGGGTAGAGTTCGATTGTTGGTTTATCACCTTTGAACATCTAATCATATCAACTCGATGTCCAACTGATGTCAAGTCGATGTTTTGAAACTTCACTACTGAGGATCAATAATCCGTGTAGACTAAGACTATATAGAGCTTATATTGCAAACTAGATGTCATCCACTCCTTCTATTCTACCAATTTAGCCAGCTTCACTGACAGATGCATACACGTCTACACATTCAGTTGGCAATAATATGAATGTGGTAATCACAGATCTCGGATTGTAGTCGAAACATGTTGTTTTGTGTGAGATAATCAGTTTGGCAGTAACATAGACACGTCTCGAACGGTGCCGTTTCCGATTTTCGGTTTATTGTTGATGCGATGTTGTCACCGTTAAAAGCAGGTCGAATGAGAGTAGGAACTCTGTCGACTGTATTTTGTGTGTGGTTTTAGTCGTAACAGTTTCAGCATTTCTCAGTGAAATTTCGTGAACATTCGTTCTTCCTTAGACATGATCTCACTCTCATTAGTTGAACTTCCTGTGTGAGTATCTGTAGTACTATACTCTCTGATCCGTGATATGGAGCTTTTGTAAGCTCCATGTAGTAACTGTTTGGAAGAACGATGTTGAAGTGTAGATCAACTGCACTCCTTGTGTCTATTCAATAAACTGAACATCGAATGTGCCACACTGTCCATTGAATTACGACAAACATACAGTGCAAATGATCTTCTTCTACACGTTGTATGAGTCTTTCGAGCTCTGATACTGGTAGAATTGGGAGGCCAGAATTCACAGAAATATGTCTGTGGTTTGAAAATGTTGTATTTTTGTGAGCGATGATGTTGTGTCAAGAGAAACCATCGATTCATCAGAAATGATTATTTGATTCGTTCTGTGAACAAATTGAAAAACAGCTTGTTAATATACATCATTAGCTAATCGACGACGAACAGGTAAAAACAACGACGATAGACAGTGTGTGAAATTGTGTTCATGTGAATCGGTGAGGTACTTGAATCCTCAGCAGACCTCACATTTGTGAAAAAGGTGAAAACTGAGGTTCTGTAATATTCTCACGTGTTGTTTGCACAAAATTCTCGACTGCGTTGTGGGTGACATCATGTGTTGGATGACGACGTCAACCAGTTGCATTTCAACTAATTCTTCTTCTTCTTCTTCCTCTCCTTCTCATTCTTCTCCTATACACACTCAAATAGCAAATATTTCAATTACTCAAATGAATTTCACGACAGTGTTACTCCATCTTTCCTGTTGTGAAGTGTATTGACGATGTGAGATCACAAGTGTAGGGATAGATCTCCATCACCCACTTGATACAGATTTACATTTGATGAGT